GAAAACGACCTGAAAAGGTCATATAGTCCATCCCCTCCCCCTAGGCAGGATCAACTGTCCCTATATCATTCTTGACAGATGTTTGTCTAACTGGTTCTTTAAAACCTCCAGTGATGGAGATTCCCTAACATCCCTAGGCAGCCTAGGCCACTCTCCTTAACATTAGAAAGGTTTTTGTAATGTCTGACCTAAGCCTCCCTTACTGCAATTTAAAGCCATTACTTTCTTCTCTCTTCCATTAGGGCCATATTTTTGCCCTTGTGGTTTGTCCAGGCTCACTACAAAATCAGTAACAGTTCTGTTGTCAGAAAGGACATCCTTCACCCAAAAGTTTGTTCTCTGTTTCTTCAGAGTTACTCTCTTTCCTTAGCTTATGCAAAATATCTTTCTGCTCTATCACTATCACTATCCTGTAACTTTCTGGATGCAGGTAACGACATCCTCAGTTTCACAGAGGCTTTACTACAGGTTTCCAGTCAATCATCGCAGGAGTAGGAATATACTACATACATAATTTAAGAACAAAATATGATTTTGCAGACCTAATTCATTCTTCACCTTAGCAAATATCCATCAGGACTGTCTTCATTGCTGGCAGCAGCATGTAAAACTGAAGTAAAAGAGATAAGAATCAGGCCCATTCCCTTTTCCAGCTTAGTCTTAAAAAGTATTAGGGTCCATTTTATGCTTCTCATATTCATCCTGTTTCTCTAGCTGGAGTGTGCATACATACATTCCTGCTAGATACTCATCAGAGGTGCACACAGTCATCATTCTCGGCGTGTCTCCTGTATCCACCTACACAGAATGGCACTTACAGCAACTGCTTCTGTAATTTCTGTGCCTCCTTCTGTCTTTGGATGGAAAATGCACAATAGTCATAAATATAATTCATATCGTACGTGTCCAAAATTGGGGAAAAGTCAGCTATTGCAAGTTTGAATTGATTCTGTCATCTAGAATCTAATTCATAATCTAATCGTTGCTTCTCCTTAAGGCTRTTTCTGGAATGGAAATTATAGTGGATGAAAAGAGACAGAGTATTTTAATGCAATTTCGTGTCATAGATAACCATCATTGTTCTTTAAGCAGGACATTTACAGCTTAACCATCATGTCTGTAAAACAAAGGGTGTGCTGGAAATTATGTAGGGATGTAAAGATGGTATCCTCCTTCCCTCCCTGGTCAGTCTTTAAGGTGACTCTTCTGCTTCTCCAACCCCACTATTTCCTTCTCCCTGGCAAGAAGTGAATTAGAAACCAGCAAACTGTAAATCTCTTATACMTCGATGTTTCACCTGAGGTGATTCCGCATGCAGATGTCACTAGCCATATAGCTTTTGCCCAGCTGAGTTTTGAGAATTTCCTATATTTGACAAAAGGCTTCTGAAGGCTTCAAAAGGCCTTCTGACAAGGAAACTGCGGAGCTTCTGGGTATCCCAGTTATTTCACAAATACATTTGCAAAATGCACTGTGCAATACATATGCAAAGGATCAAACATTTCCTAGACTTAAACAGTGTACTATGCATGGGCCGCATATAGMGGCTGTGGCTGTGCACTGGTGATGCAGGCACAACTAGAGAGTGCAGATGTACACGCAGGTGCTTCCAGGAAGCCTCAGCTTTGGTATGTATTTGCTCAGGAGTTGATCTTTGCAGGAACAGGATATCCATTGTGGCCTCAAAGTGTTGAATTTACTATCCATGTCATACATGACCATGTATTTCTGTCTGGGAAACACTCATGGGAAATAACATAGAATCATAAAAAATTAAGGCTGGAGGTCAAGGTTCAAGAGATTATCCAGTCCACCCTGCTGTTGTCAGGCAGAGCTGCTATGCCAATATTTGTCCAACTTCCTGCTAAAAAATCTTTCCCTCTCTTAGGGACTCTGCAACCTCTCCCAGAATTTATGCCAGTGCTTCACTGCTATGTTAGAAAGCTTTTSTTAGCACCTAATTTGAATTTCCCAAGTCGTTGTGCCTCCTTCTGTCCACTGCAGGAAAGAGATAGACTCGTTCTCTTTTCATTAGCCTTGCCTGTTTTTGAGATGAGTGTCATATCGCACTCAATTTTCCCTTCTGGAAATGAAATGTAAGTCCATTCTAGATGAACGTAGGTTTCAGACAACTCCTTCACTTCAGTCACCCTAATTATTCTCCATCAGTTGGTCCAGATTTTTCCTTGTATGTGGCATCCAGCCCTGGTCCCAATGCCCCTGCATAATCCTACCCTTTGCTTAGAAGAGAAGGTACTGCACATACGTTGCAGATGTCACTCCTGCTTGTACCGCTGCCTTTACTTCATTTTTACAGCATCACGTTGTTGATGGTGTGTTCAAATTGACAGGATCATTTTTAATTCCAGTCCTGTGTTCCAGAATATCAGAAGCCCTTCCAAGCATGGTATCAGTGTGTGTAAGCATATCATTTCTTCTCCATCATCAGGTCATTAGGAAAATACTGAGTAGTGCCAGAGTCAGGACAGACACCATTCACGCACACTTCTGTTCTGACAGTGAACTGTTGATAACTATCCTCTCAGTTTTGCTCTCTAACTATTTTTGCATTCGTTCTGCAGTAGTTTCATCTCAGCTGTGTTTCCTAGGGTTATAAAGAATGTCATGCAAGGGAGTGTCAAGAGACTTGTAAAGTCAAACCACCTACTGCTTTTTCCCTGTCCGCAAGACCAATTACCCTGTCTTAGAGGGAGATCAGATTGGTTTGACACAGTTTGTTCCTAACAATCCTTGTTGTCTGCTACTACCTTGTTTTCTTGCAGGTGCTTAAAAACTGTTTGATTATTTTTGTCAGTACTTTTCCAGGGGTTGAAGTTGACTGGTCTATAATTTTGCAGATCTTTCTTTTTAAAGATAGCCAGTTCATTTGCTCTTCTGTCATCATTCAATACCTCCACTGTCCCTGCAGATAAACACTAACATCTTTAAGACTCTTCCAACCAGTCTGAAAGCATCTAACCCAGCTAAATATAATATTTTCTTTCCCTCACCTAGGCTGAAATCTTTAACTTTTCCAGAGAATGTGTCCAGTAAGAGACTGAGGCCCAAACCCCTGCCTGTGGGCACTCCACTTTCTGAAAGCTGCAGTCTGCAACAGTGTGGGCCTGATGTGTGGGAAAGCCACTACTGCAGTGAGGAGGCCTCCTTCCCTACAAGTAGACTGCATTCTATAGTACATGAATAAACACTCCAGAATAGGAGTGTTTTATATTTTATTCATATAAATTCATTCAATAGGAGTGTTTTATATTTTATTCATAAAATATAATATTATTATATTTACTCCATAAATAAAACCCAACCGCTAGTGAAAAGGTTTCTAAAGATGCCCAGTGCTTGTATGCATCTGAAATCTGGAAGTCTTTCCATCACCTTCTTTGATGCAGTGTCTTTTTTAAATAATGGTTGAAAACCCCTCATGTTAATAACATGTGTCTGTTTAATGATCCCTACTAAAGTCAGAAAGTGGATGTTGACTTGCACAAATAATTTTCATCAAAATTAAAGGSTAACTCAAAGCTACTGCTTCTGTTTTCTATTATATTATTCCATGTGGGAAGTAAAAGAAGGAGGAGTTGTAATTTTTCTCCAGTGTTAAGCAGATCCATAACAAGAAAAATGCCATTAAAATTGTTTAATGTATTCTACAGAAAAGTGTCGTCTTGAATGTGGTCAGATACATTTATCTAGTATGCCATATAATTTTCATCCACTTAATATCAGTCATGTCTATGTGTTTCAGGAATATATTCTGTATAATTTGAGTACCCTTAACTAATTCAGCATCTTTGGTATTTTACTGGACCAGCTACTTCAGAAAAAGATAAGAGTTTGTATACCTTAGAATTGAAGAATTAGATTTAAATTATTGACTTTGAGAAAGGCCAAATAGCCCTTTATCTTTTCTGCTTCCTGAGGTCTCATTGAATGGCTTTTACTTAAAAGTGAAGCCTTTTAGTACATTTTCTGCAACCTTTTTTCAGTCAAGATCAAGATCAACACAGTTTAAAGGTATAGAAAGTACCACCCATCTTAGTGTATTAGGATTGGGTATTATTGTATTAGTAGGTTCTGATAAGGCTGTACCAGACTACAAGAAGCCAGTACAAACCTGTAAGATCTTCATTCTGTATAAAGATTGCTCTTCAGATTTSTAGGTAGTTTGATGTAAAAATCAGTAGCGGAGAATGAGCTTAGTTTTTAAGTCCATATGAAAGTTCATTAAGGGCAGAAAGGGATTAATGGTTCTTTCTTTTCCCCTAAGGAAAAACCAAAGCCTCTACAGTATTCTAAATTTCATAAAATCAGATTCATATATAGCAATGTATCATTTGCATCTACAATTACTTGCCAGATTTCTTAGGTACATATTACTTGACCCGTAGTCAAATATGGGTCTTGACCCTGATGTGAACAGGGTTCAGAAGTTTCTGTGTGTGCACTAGGAAAGGACAATTTATGAGAAATGAGATTCCAACATTTGAAATTGTTTTTACTCAATCCAATGCCATAAGCCAAATAATCCCTCTCTCATAGTCTTCTCCCATATCTTCTCTTCCCCATTCCTGCTCTTTTTGGCCCTGCTCCTGCAGTGTGRAAGGACCTTTCTGAAACAATGCTGATTTATGTGAGAATCTATATAGGAAGTAAAGGTCTGACTGCATGAGTCAGAAAACAGGTAAGGATTTATTAAATCAGTGCTGCTAGGAATGTCAGCTATTTCCCATCACTCATTTCAACCAAGTATTTAGCTGATAATTAGATTAACTAACTGACTAAGCTAAGCAAAAAGGGGAAGTCAGAGCATGAGGCAGTTCAGATTGCTCCTATTTTAACCCTCTGTCATCTAAAATGAGTCCGTGGTGTTTTATGTTCCTATGGGATTCGTTCCCTGGAAACAGAAGGGTGAGATGGTGCATTGAAAGTTTCTTATTACTGCTTCATATTCTAAATACCTATTTTTACATTTTAACATATAGCTCCATCAGCCCTCCCAGACGCAAGTGGGACAAGCAGCCTCACAACCTAATCTCCTGCATTTGGCTCACAATCAAGCATCTTTGTCTCAAAGCCCAGTGCGTCAGGCTTCCTCTTCTTCCTCCTCATCCTCCTCCTCTTCAGCTTTGAGTGTTGGCCAGTTAGTCAGCAGTAAGTATTGCTCCCTGGCTCTCCTTACTTCTCCCTCTGTTTGTCCTTGTCACTGCTGAGTTTCCTGATCTACCTTCCCTCCTTTTTTTGTCCATATAATAGATTGTTTATTGTTAATTACACTTGCCAATAAGTGATAAGAGCCATGATGGATGGGTCTAAGGGTAAACATGCTTTGAGAAGTGGCAGTCAACACTAAAAATGATCATAATAATGCTAGCAGTCCTTAACTTGAACTTTGTGGACACTGGGTGATTCTTAAAACTCAAATGTACTTTATATTCATTGGAAATGAGAAATTTTTGGATCAGTCAGTATAATGGATTGTACTGCTCCAAATGTGTTGGGCGTCCTCTCCTACTTTTTCGTTAGGCTGCTTTTTCTTTAGTTTATTTACATTACTGTAGCAGACTGCTTTACAAACCCAAGCATTATACAGGCCTAGAGCAAGAGAACTTCCTTGCCAGGAAGAGTTTGCACAGTTCAGACACAAAGGAGCTCTGATATGTGGGCAGAGAGAGGGAGGCCAACTGAAATGGAGTAACTGAGTTGCAGTGTTAGAGTTTTAACAGCTGACCTCCTAACCAGGTCCTTTCTCCAGATCATATAGTTCTTAGTTCTTCGCTGTTACTTTATTGGTCTTACCAATCTARTATTAGCTTGGATCTTTACATAGCAATAAAAACAGACTAAAAGTATAAGTAGCATTTATAGTTTTTGCAAACTGCAAAAATGTGAGTATATTGGATGACTTTGTTCAAAGATACTGCATGTACTTTTTCAAGTGAAAAAAAAGAAAAAACAATATAGCAGATGTCACACTGAGGATATAAAATATATGACTGAGGAAGCTTATGAAGGGTTTAGAAAAACTGTCATGCAAAAAAGATCTGAAAAAATCTTGGTTGGATTACTTCAGAGATTCTTTACATGAGGATATGACTAGCAGAGGAATAGTGGTAAAATTATGCTGGTATAACTCCCAGTGTGAATATTTTTATTCTGGAATAAAAACATCCACATGAGTAGCTGTAAGTACATAAAATATATAGAGAGATATAATTATGCTGATATAAACATACTGCTGTTGCTCTGCCAGTAAATCGTCTCATGTAGACAAGCTTGTAGCAAGACAAATAAGATGCTACATGTTAAAAATATATATATATAAAGTTACCCCTTGCCTGTGTGGGAAAATTGACTAACATAGCTAGTAGAGAATAAGTTACTTCTCAATGGCTGGTCCAGAATAACTTCCCTTGTGGCCATTCTGATTCAAAAAAAAAATATATTTTAGAATAATTGTTGAGGGGTACTTTATCCCACAATAGTTATTCCAGTCAATTTCCCTGCATAGATAAGATTGCTCTTATCTAAAGGCAACATGGAAGAAGCCATTTTAAGTTTACAAGGTAAATCAGTCAAAAATCAGGAGGTGCTAGGAAAGAGTTGCTTATGCAACAGCATTTAACTCTTCTTATAACATGTATTTTATGATATTGATGATATTGTGATTGATGATATTATGATATTGTGATTAAATCACACCCTGTTTTATACTTGTGCTTCTTGGAGTGTGTTCCCAATAGATTTGCTGTAAGGATGAAATCAGACATTATTATTATTATTATTATTATTATTATTATTATTATTATTATTATTATTATTATTGGATGGTCCTGCTTCAGACAGTAGAGGACTGAGAAACTGGAGCTTTCTCTCTGCCATATAATTTCAGTGCAGTGTCACTCAAGTGACTTAAAACATATTTTTCACAAGTGTTCCTTCAATATCCATTGGGTTTTAATTTATAGAAGAACCCGGCATTCACAGTTACTATCCAAAGTGCACTTTCACTGTTGAGGCATATAAAACACCATTTAAAGCCACAGTCTAAAAATCATTTCTTACTTGACCTAGACTGGGTATCCAAAAGTACTTTTTTCCTTTGTGTCTGGCAGCTTCTTGGTGAATGAGAAGGGGACGACCTTCATCTTGTAGAAACACAGGAAAATAAATTAAGATGTTTAAAAAAAAAAAAAAACAGAAAAGCTTGAGAGGAAATTAATAACTATCTTTGGTGAAGAGCTTTAGCAGAGGCCTAGGGCCACACTGTGAACAAATGCAAAGTCTCTTTGCAGTGAAGCACAGTTCATTCTGTGCACTGAATGAGGCAGACATCTGTGGGAAAAGAACTGGTAATCCCCTTCTCAAAGACTATATGACACTGTTTTGTGGGCTCCTGTCACTCCAGCATTATGCAACTTCTGAGTGTTTATTTGTGCTACTTTAAGGATGTTCTTTTAGCTTCATTTTTGCATAGGTAAATGTCAAGGTTGTTACAAAAGCAGAGTAGCATGCAAGTCAGTCATGTGTTTGAGGTGATGTTTGTACTCATAGGCAGAAATGTTAGATCTTCTCAGGACAATTGAATGAATAGAAAAGCCGATAGGTTGTGTTACTCTCCTGTTGGTCCTATTCTAAATAGGAAGAGGATGCATGCTATGTTAAAGGATTTGGCTGAGAGTAGCATAGACATAGATCTTCCATACTCGTTCCTTTCAGGCTCAACTCCTTCCTTCACATGTTCAGTCCCTGTCCTGTTTCTGCCTCACCCTTCATTCCCTTTGCATTCTGTCTTCACATCAGACCTTTTCCTTTTCCATCTGCCTTCACACTGCAACCTTTTTCCTTCAGCAAGATGTCCCTCGATTCCTCTTCCTGTTCTTCTTAACTTCTTTTCCATCTCCTAGTTGGATTCTGTCACCAAATCTATCAGATCATCTCAGTGGTGCTTTAACCTGCATTTTTGTCAGATAATCCCTGTCACCATCTTCTACACTTTTATTTAGTTTGCTGCCACTTCTCTTCCCCCATTTTCCTTCCTCTACCCAAGTAATTCTTACTGTCCTTCTTTGCACAGTCACTCCCTCTCTACCTCCACTCCAAAATGAAATCCCTGCTACTTATTAGGAGCTCGTACTTCCTTGAGGCAGATTTTTGCTTGGGATGAGAAAAAGTTACTGCCTTGACACCTATGAAGACTATACTGCAGTATGTTACGAAATTGAACCTTTTTAAAAGAAAGAGGTGATTAGATTGGGTTTTTATCCTGAGCAAAACAGATTTATTAACCTTATTCTCACAAATGATTCAACGACACTGGCTGAAATTCATCTCTCTATGGAAAATCCCAATTAGCCATAGTCAATACCCTACCTGTAGTAACAAATGGCACAGAGAAGATAGTTGAAGAGTTCATGTTTTTCCTTGCTCAAAACAGAAGATCAGCTCACTTAAATCATAAGGTGAGGAACTTAAACAGACCAAAGAAAATATTTTTCATACAGTTAGACTGAGGAATGTCTCATGGTTGAGAATTCACAGGCACCCGGATCTTAAGAGCGTTCTGAAAGAGAATGGATATCTATAGAGATGCACTTAAAAAAAGCATATCAAGAATTAATAGGCAAACAGGTTCTGGAAGTGATATCTACATTTGCATGTCAGGGCTTCATCCAGGACCTCATTATTTGAGACCACTTATTTGGTGCACTGGGCAAATCAACTTATTTTTCCAATTACATGGATTTCTCACAGAGTCAGAAAGTAAATATTCATCTCAATGTTCCTTGATAGTTATCTAGCATATTTCTAATAACATTTACAGGAAATGCAGGACAGAAAATGCAGGAAACACTGAATGTGTAAGCCTGCTTAAGATTGCGTGTAAGATGCTGCTGCTCCAGGACACAAGGAGGTTACCTGTTGCTTTCTAGTGATATGAACAGAGCMTATTAAAAAAAAGTCCAGTTAGTCCAGTAGGGAGAGATCAAACTATATATATAACGAAGTGTGAAAAGACAGATGAGATACTTGGCAGTTTTTCATAGCCATTGACAATGCCACCTTTTTAGACAAACCATCTTAACTGATCTTCACAAACTCTAAAATTGCTTTAGATAACTAAAAACCAGTGTGTATGGACACACTGGAAATGAACAGACAGAGTTCCTCCCTGCTTTGTGAGATCTGTTCGGGTTCTGGGTGCACCATGTGCCTGTCACCTCTCCATGACGAGTGTACGGCCAACAAGGCCTTCCTCGCTTCCCCGCTCACAAACTGCCTCTCCGAGATTTGTGTAACACGTCTGCAACTGAAGTCCAGTGTCTACTGAAGTCCATTCAAAGCCTTTTAGTCAAATGAAGCTGCAAGGGGTCACTGGTTCTGAAAGAAARCCATAGGGCATGTGGGCAGCGAGAAACAACTTGGGGCCTCTTAAGGATCCCTCTGATTGCTCTGGCTCTCCTAAAGCARCAACCTTCTTGTTTACTTTTTATTTTTCATTCTAAAATTCCTATCTAGCCCTCCAGTAGAGGCCCCAGAGTTGAATATGTCGGTGAAGATTTGCTGTATTACAGGAACTATTGCTAAATATAGTAAAGTTCAGGTAAACCAGGCATAGTCTGTGATCTTTATGTGCTTATAAGAAGGAAGACTGGCACATTGCTTAGAGGAATGTAACTTCAGTAATTTAATAATTATTGGGGGAAAGATTCTGCCACACTTGCTCAGAGAGACTCTCTGTGCAAGTAGCTCCCTGTTTGGTCTATTAAGACAGAATTGGGTCTTAATAGCTTTAGAGTTCCACATTTATTTCCTTACATCTAGACATATTTTCTTTATGATTTTACCTTTTTATTTAATATGTTTCCTACTTTTAAAGAGGGGCATTTCCTTAAACTCCCACTATTCCTCCTCCTTTATTTTGTATAGTTGTCCCTGTTGCAATGCCCTGTAATAATTTACTTTGATTGCCCTTTGTGTTTTTATTTCTCATCCTTTTTTTTTTTTTTCTGTCTTTTTCCTGGACTTGCAAAGAGTTTCTGTTCTTTTGTTCCATTCTCACTTCTCACTACCTCAACCTGAGCTAGTTTTTCTGAAGACAAAAATTATGAATTTCTTCTAGTGGAAGCTCTGCCTAAGCAAGATTCATCTCTGCTCTTCCAGACACTTCTAAGGGATTTTTTTCATATTATCTCCTCACTATTATGTTCTTTTCTCTTCTTCACTCAATTCTACGTTATCATTTCTCCTTTTTCCTGTCTCATTTCCCTCTTCTCAGATGCATCCTTTCCCTTACTTTTCCCATTATATGCTGTCTTCATGGAAATCACTGCTTTTCCCTCCTGCTCAGAGGCTTGTGGCTCCATGAAATTCCTTTCATCCTTCCAAATTTATTTTACTGTCATTTGCTCCTATAAAATTGTAATGCCCCCCACAAATATATCTTCTTTCTCTCCCCTGAGCCCATGTCCATTTTCCAATAACAGTGTCTCATCCTGCCTCCTGCCCAATTTACATTCTGYTGGACTCCCTTTGTCAGCTACATCTCCTTCTGTCTGTCTGGGGAATGTGTCACCTGTAACCCTCTCATGGAAGAACTCTGCTCATAAGAAATTTGCTTTCTTTCTTTAGAGTTCACTGATTTATCTCTTAAGCAAATCTTTCCCATAACTATTAAAATCAGAGCAAACTCATGAGAACAAAGCAAAGTCATGCAGCATTTTCAGAAGAATTCAGAAGCAGGAGTAGATTTCCTTCAGTAGGAAAAAAAAAAGATTTTCAATGTAGGAGAGAGTGTAAATTTTATTTCTTTCACTTGTCAACCTTTGCCAGACATCTGTGGGAATTTTACCCTGCAATGGTCCCATACAAGTGTCTTGCCTTTCTCCAGGGCCTAGTAGTTYCAGAGACACAATAGCCATAGATTATTGAGCCATAATGTGCACTGGGAATCTTTAATCTAAATGCCACTGCTGTAGATCCTACCCACTCGATGAGATTGGTATTCTTTTATTTTGTGGTTGGGGCTGTGCTCTCTTCTGTAAGATTTCTACTTAATTTGAAAAAYACCTTTTTTTTTTTTTACAGTTTTCAGTAAAATACTCTTCCCAAAAGTAGAAGTAAACTATACACTTTACTGTTCTGAGAAATCAGARTTCATTAAAACAAAGTCTATTGTCTGTATCTGCGTGTTTTTGTAGGCATAGTCCATAGAGTCCAGGATTAGGTACTGTTTCCATCTTAATGGAAATAGATTAAAAAGGAGCAATGCTGTTAAATGATGTTGCCAATAAAACGATCTTCTAGTACTGTGTGAGTAATATGGAGAAGTCATGGGACRAATTCCATGGATTTCAGTGGCCTTTCAGCTGCACCTAAATTAGACGTGGTTCTGATTTGATACAAGCAGATAATACAAGCAATTTGATACAAGCAAATTTGATACTTCCCTAGAGTTCATAAAAGGTTTAATTCCAGATCTGGTAGTACCTTCCTCCTCCCAAATACATAAGATAAGAATGAAGTCTTGTTTTCTCAGAAGATGTTCTACCATATGTAAGAATCTRCTCCCCCATCCTGAAGCATATTGAAGGTTTTTCTTTTTTTCTTATTTCAAGGAGCACTCAGCCTAGATGTTCCTGGTTCGAGGCTCCTGTGCAGAAAAGRATCTTCCATGCTATTTACTTTTGCAAGAGTAAACTTCATATCAGAAAGGCCAGCAGAACTCACACCCATACCCATGTGCACGCAAACAACTACTTTTTCATCCTGTCAGGAGTTGTGGTGGGGTTACAGCTCACAGAGCAACAGAGTTTGCTTCTTTGGAGATTTGTTTAAAGTTCTCTGGGAAGACCTGAACTGTCCTTTGTCACATCCCTAATCGCCTTAGTCAGAGGCCTTAAAATGAGGGAAGGAGTGAGGTGAGGAAGGTTACCRTCTTAGTGCACTTTACTCAAGGGAATCTCTGAGGCCATTATCATTTATGATATTTGTACATTTATCAGTGGCTCTTCAAAGACCCAAAGGGCAGATAAGCGTCCAGCTCCTTTTTGTGTCTCTGAAAATCATAACCGATATGCTAGATAGACCGTGTATGGGGTAAGCAGGAATATTTCACATCTACAAAAGCAATTGCTTTACAAACCTGAGTGGCCCCTGTCACAGTCCCCACCACTTACAAGTAAATAATATATGCCCTAGGTCTACAATGTCTGAGTGCATGCATGTATGTACAGGTGAGCACTGACAGCAGGAGGGACAACACTGGATGCAGACCAGTGTCAAAACTGGACTCAGCGTGTGTGTGCATGCGTGCCCATATGTGGTTCATGTGGGCCATGGTTTCATACACGAGTGTTTCTAAACACCATTGCTAYGAGTGCTTTTTTCACTCAAGCTGCTAATCAATATTGGGTAAATTTATATAGCAGAAAAACCTCTTCCCTCTGTCTCTCTATTATTGGACTAGAAGATTTTTATAGGGCATTTCCATCCTAAGGGAATTTTACATCAGGCCTATAAACCCAGGAAAATAAAAGCTTTGTTGCTGTAATGCTGGCAAGCTCTTAACTATAGCACTACTAGCGGGAGCCACTCTAATATWGGGTTCAGAATAGCAACATAGTCTAGCACTGTCCTTGGACCACTGCTTGCATTCACAGAAACTGATGTGTTCTTGTGCTGAAAACTTCCCCAAAGAAGTCAGAGGAATGAGGTGAAGAACAATAGAGATGTCTCACGGGGAGAATGGCTTCACTACACGCAGGATTGCACAGCCCTTTGAAAGCTGCCACCATCCCAGTCCCATGCTGTCTCCAGCTTGGTGGATGCTTTCATTTAACCAGAGATCAGTAGCGTGGGGGGAAGGAAAAAGAGTTCCTTCCTCCAGCTGTTGTGTCATTTCCCTTGATAAGTCCTAAATTGACCGCGTTATCCAGCTCCAAAGGAGCTTTCTGTGGTAGACATCCTTTATTACGTGCCCTTTCGGGGACAAAGGAGTCTGTGTCAGTAAACTGCTATGGAGAGGAAGGACAGATTTATTCTCACAGCATCAAAAGCATTATCTTCTGAGGGCCTAATGCAAAAGTAAAAAATTGTGCAGCATTACCCTCTGAAATGTAGCGGTTGATGTTGCAGATACACTCCTCATTGATTATCAACCTGATGGGAGGCAGAATGGAAAGCCCAAAAGGCTGCTTCCCAGAAAGGCATATTTTAAGAATTGGTTTATAAAATGAAGGATTTTTTTAAAGGCAGCAAAATTTTATTGCTTGTTTGTTTGCTGGGTTGTTTTGGAGGTTTGGATGGTGGTCTGCGTTGAGTGTTGTGAAAGRAGGAGGGAAGATTTGTTAATTTTTTTACTCTAGGTTAAATGTAGTTGAAGTGGAAAGTCTTGATTTTGAATTAGAAACCCAGGCAGTTTGTGCATGTGTTTAGCTCTCTTAAAAGCTACAGATAAATAAACATCAGCCCTTCTTGTGTACGTGATAAGAAGRGGAAACTGGGAACAATGATTTGTCAATGACATGATTTGTCAAAATCGGTGGAGATCTTCCAAAGCACAAAAGGCAGTAAGGAGCCCAGCTACACCCACGGACTCTGGGAAGAGCTGGGCATTTTCAGGAGCTCAGCACCTTTGGAAAGTCCTTCACTACCACCTGGAAATGCTGCAGCCCACTTAGTGTTTTAGCAGTCCAAACATGCTTCTTTTCTCTGACGCCTGTTTCTGGGAAAGAGAAAGGGACAAGTGGGAAAAAACATGTTTAAAAAAAAAAAAAAAAAGATGATGAAACCTAGTGTTTTCCATTGGTTTGTGACCTGAAGAACTGACACTATTAAAAAAAAATATTTCAACAGATCCTCAAACAGCCACTGGAGAGGTGGATGGGGTGAATCTGGAGGAAATTCGAGAATTTGCCAAAGCTTTTAAAATCCGGCGCCTCTCCCTTGGCCTGACACAGACTCAAGTTGGCCAAGCCCTGAGCGCCACGGAAGGCCCAGCCTATAGCCAGTCTGCCATCTGCAGGTAACAAGCTACATCATAACCCTATGTTCTCCTCTCTTTGTCCTTAGTAATTATGAATTTTATTGTGAGGAGCGTGCTTGTGTTTGAGTCATATGTCTTGTAGAACTTGTCGTTTAATCTGGGACTTGAAGTAGCCAGTGATGTTGGTATCTGGCAGATAAAATGTTCATACTGTGTGCCCCTAAAGTAACTTTTGTCTTTTTTCCCCCTTCTTTTTTTTTAAACAAGTGAGAAACAATATTCCTGGCGTTTTGACTTAATTCACTAGACGAGCTGGAGGCCCTGCTGGTGCTGGATAAGCACCAGCTGACACTCTTCATACTGTGCCATTTTCTACAGATAGGGTTACTGAACAAATATTTCATGGCTGCATCCCTGCTAAGTTAAAAACTGTATTACTGTGGTTAGCACTTCACATATAGGATGTTAATGATGATTTACCTAGGCAACACAGAAGGGGAAAAATCATCCTTCCTGCTATCTTGTGAACCAGCAGCTATTCATCTTTTATCACCCAAATGCTTATTAGAAAAAAAAAAAGAAAAAGAAAAAGGACAAACAGCCTACACAGGCAAAGGAGAAGGCAAAATCTGTCCTAATCATAAGAAATGATAATACAGCCTTGACAGAGTTAAAGTCAAGTGTTAGAAGCAAACACCCTGTACGCATGTATGTGTGTTACAGTAATCCCATGTTTATGCATGAGGTAACAAACACACTTAGGTAACAGCTTTTTCCTCTTGGGCAATGCCTTATAGTCTTTCTCCATCAGTGAAAGCCAAGAAACCAACTCTAAGCTCATTTAAGTGGATTTTGTTCTTGGTGATCCATGAAATGCTCTGTCTTTTTATCTGCTCTTTATACTTTTAATGTATTCCCCATAGAACGGAAGTGTACTTTTCCTGCAGTTTAAGACTAAGGTTATAAATAACATCAGTATGGGGTAGTGAGCTTGCAGCTCACATTTTGCTCAATGATTTTCCATAAAACCCATTGATTGTTGTTAAATACAAAAAGCTCCATAGGATCCTCTCACTTCTATGGCCTCCCCTACTGTTTTTTCTTATAAGATACCTCCCTGTAGAAAATAACCTTTATTCAGTCTATACAAGGATACTACTGCTGCGAAATTTGTTTCAAGGCTTGTATATCGTTATACCAAACAACACRTACTGCAGCATCAACACTAACAAGCAATGCCAACGATAGGAATGCTCTTGCTCCCTGTCGCTAAGGATTAATTTTATTTTTTTTCTTTCCTATGGTCAATTGGTAAAGAATGCCTAAACCGGGCAGAGTTTTTAGCAATTGCCTGTTTTTTGTAGACTTAAGTTGTTGTTTAACATACTATACTTTAAACTGAAATATTGCAATTTCCTTTTCTTGTGTCTAGTTTGTTGTCTTCTCATTTCTTCCATCTACCTTACAGCTGAAAAAAAAAATGCTGGGGATGGTTTGGATTTAGCTAAAAGAAATGGTTCCCCATTAGCCTSTTATTGAGAAAATCCAAAGAAAGATGAAGCTGGAACAAAAATTAAGCTAAGCACCAAAATGTGGAGTCCTTCTGTAGCGAGGTCCTTCAAGGAGACAGTTACTCAGTACCTCCTTCAAGGAGGCAGTTATGTGACTGAGGTCACAAGAACCAGGTGTAGAAGCTGCTCCCAAATACTTGCAGAGTGGTAGTGTTTTACTTACTTCAGTCCCCCCAAAAGCTGTCATTTGGGGATATAACAATTTGCTATGACTGTACCTTCCTTGCTAAGCATCAAGACAAGCCACCTCAGTGCCAATATGCTGTTCCTCAGAAACAGCAAGTACAACTTATCTTTAAATGGTGGCGAGAAGTTTTCAATATGAACTCCAGGGCAAGGCAGGGGGTAGAGAGAGAGAAGTAAGCTGAAAGACCAAGTCAGAGGCACAAGCAGCATCTCCCAATGCCCTTTGCAGGGCACAGCAGCAATATACCACTTTACTGATGTGTTCTGCCTGCAAAAAAAAAAAAAAAAAAAAATGCATTTTCTTAACTAGACACAAGAAGTTCCAAAACACAAACTGCAGATTGAAATATCACTGGACACCAAGGAAGGACACCTTGCCTTCAATATGGCAATAGGTTTCCAGGCACCAGCCATAAATTCTTTGGAGTGTTATTTGAAGTTATTTCTATAGGAAGTTATTTCTTGTCTTGTTCCTTGAGGGAACTGCATTGTTTCCTGCTGGAGTCTTTTCTGCAGCTGCCCCTCACTGCAGGTAGACAGTAAATATTGCCAGCCCTGTCACCAAGGTGTTTCACACGAAGGAATTGGGTTGATCTGTCTGTCCATCAAGGCGTGTTGCAGTGAGCAGCGGCAGCGACGTTTCAGCACCGCGTGGGCTGAACAGGGCAATATCAGTGCGTGGTATCTGAGGCCTAAACATAGGCATAGCCCRAGGGTGGGCATAGACCAAGGCGGGAATGCGAACGGTGGCATCAGAGGGACTGGCTCGAGACTTCTTAAATGGGAGGATGAACTTGATAAATGAAAGAAACAAGGGCRTATAAGGCTTGAAACGTGACTTCAGCTGTTCTGCGTGGTTTTGAAAGGATTGAAGCTTTGTGTGGCTGCTTTTCCGGATCATTTCTGATGCTTGTAAAATCTGGTTTGGCGAAAGACTTTTGATGGCAAAATGATATATAGAAGACCTCGTTTACAGGAAATGATATCATTCTGGTACAGTTTGCAGAAATCCCACAATAAACCCAGCTTGGTGCCACARCATATTAGTAGACTATTATGCTGGGTTTCATCTGGAAAACATGAGTCTGTCTTAGCACATTGTGGGGGTAGTCAAGATAATTGCAAAGTGTCCAGCTGTTTCAGCTGAACACCACAGTAGCTATGGGAATCTTTTTCCAGCACAGAAAAGGGACGTGGTATTAACTTGCAAACAGTGAAAATTGYTGAAAAATGAAAGGAAAGGAAACCTGATATTCAAAGGCTAGCRGCTGCCAATGGTTTGTATTATTAAAGCTGTGGCTTTTTGGACAACGTGGGGTGGGAAAGGAAACAAAAGCACTAATCACAAAGATGAGGTGATAAAAAAATTTGCCTTTGATGTCATTTCCTGTAATTAGGCTTAGCCTTAAGGGGTTTGGAGGTTGTCAGAAATATGAAAAYGGAACGCATGGCTTGTGTGATGTATTTTGTTGTGGTGTTTATTTTGTGTTGGCTTAAATGTCTAGCTGTGTTTATAGTTTTATATATATATTTATACCAATCTGATAGTTTTCGTAATCCATTGCAAGTTACCTCTGCCAGTCACCTAGGCAGGTAGGCAGGAAGTCCCACCCTGGCAGAGCATCAGTGTAAGACTCTTCTTTCTCAATTTTCCCTCAGACACACCATCCTGAGAAGCCACTTTTTCCTACCACAGGAAGCCCAAGAGAACACTATAGCTAGCAGTCTGACAGCCAAACTGAACCCTGGCCTTTTGTATCCTGCCAGGTTTGAAAAGCTGGACATCACCCCTAAAAGTGCCCAGAAGATAAAGCCGGTGCTTGAGCGGTGGATGGCTGAGGCTGAGGCCCGCCATCGAGCAGGGATGCAGAACCTTACCGAGTTTATCGGGAGCGAGCCATCCAAAAAGCGCAAGCGGCGTACCTCATTCACGCCCCAGGCCCTTGAGATCTTGAATGCCCACTTTGAGAAGAACACGCACCCCTCTGGGCAGGAAATGACAGAGATTGCCGAGAAACTGAACTATGACCGCGAAGTAGTTAGAGTTTGGTTCTGCAATAAGAGGCAAGCGCTGAAGAACACGATCAAGCGCTTGAAACAGCAYGAGCCCGCCACGGCAGTGCCCATGGAGCCCTTAACAGACTCGCTGGAAGAAAACTCCTAAAAGCCAAACCAAACCAAACCAAACCACACACAAAATAACCACGCCAACAGAAACGTAACCGCTCGAACTCTGTGAAAATACCCACTCGTCGCCCTTGTAAGTAAAAAGACTGAGAAAACTGCAAGAAGGACAGAACAGTTTATAAATGTCCATGGGGTTTCCTATATAAGAGCAAAACAAACAAACAAACAAACAAAAAAAAAAACACAGCACTTAGCGTGTGTGTGTGTCGTAGAGTTAGTTCCAAAAGAAAGAAAAAGCCAGTTTTTTTAAATGGACTTAAAGTAAACCAAATAACTGCTTACTTTTTTTTCTGTATATTATGAAAATGTGAACACATTTTAAGGAAAAACAAAACAAAAAAAAAGAAAAAGGAAAAAAAAAAAACTTTTATCTGTTTAAAAGCGAATACAAGCCTGCCACCTGGAGGAGTGATTGTAGCCTTTCAGGTATCAAGTGCTGATTCACTATGAAAACTATTAACCAAAGTCAGAAACATGGCATTGCAAACTAGATTGTTAGTCTACTCTTTTATGAGTGTAAAGTTGTGTTATGAATTTTTACATTTGTATTTTACAAAAATGGAAGCAACAAGATTAATTTCTGTCATCCTTATTTGCACCCGCTGCAGGTGTGTAGAAACAGGTGTTAAAGCCATTCCACAGTGGTCTTCTTTTCTTTTCTTTTTTCTCTTCTTTTCTTTTCTTTTCTCTTCTTCTGTTCTCTTCATGAACACTTTTGCAATTTCCTAGTGTTTGGGTGCCAAAAATAATTTATTTTTATTGCGGTTTGTGGGATTTGATATTTGTCGTCCAAGTGCGTAAATCTTGGTTTGCGTCTCTATTTTTGGTTTTGKTTTTTTTTGACTCCTTTTGCTGCCTCCCTGCTCCCAGCTCATTCTCCATCCCTTCCCTGCACCCACATAGCCCAGTACTGTTTGAAGATTTTTAAAAAGAAAAGTGAAACCTAAACACTTTTATATTGATATGCTGAAATGCAATAGAGGACAAAGAAGGATTAGGATTGTGTCTGATGAACTGTGAGCCCACGCTGAAGGTGGTGCTTACTGTCGACCACGTAGCTTGGGATTTCTCTGTCCTTTGGCCACGAACCTGGAGAGGTTACCAAAAGTCCTTTTGTAGTCTAARCTGCACGCTTGGTTCAGTACTGCATCTATCTTATAGTTCTGTTTGAAGCAATTTCTCTCCAAAGTCTGATAGCCAAAGAAATTTCTTGAGATTCTGATGAAAGCAAGAGGACAGGCCAAGAAATGATGAGGACGTTTGGATCGTTGCATCACTGTGGACTCTTTCACTGGTAGTGCTTTGTTCCTTCTGCCTTTTTTTTGTCACCCCGCTATTGTTGCTTGCCCTGTTGACTGCTACTCTTCCGTGGGAGGGTGGGTTTGTGGAAATATTTGATGTGATCACTGGCAAAACAACCAGGATATACGGAAACACACTGAATATCCTTTGGGAATAACGAGGTGGGTCACCTGCAAGGTGCTTCAGGTGAGGAGATCCTCCTTTAAGAACAACTTGTCTCTGTGGCTTCATTTTTTGATTGGAGATAATTGTCACTGGACCTGCAAAGGCAGCAAGCCTGAGAAAGGGAAGGGTCTTGCAGGTCCTGAGTGGGGCACGGCCTGAGCCATGATACCAGTCTGCACTTCCCATCGTGTGCTGAGTTCTGCCCCAGCCTGTGGGGTTCAGCCCTTTGTTAGRATAGAAGCTGCAGCTGGATCAGGGCTTTCCAAAAGGTAAATGTTGGGGCTTCAGTTCAGCTCATGGTAGAGGCRATAGAGTAAAATTCTGCTGGTGTAACTCCTGATTGCATTTCCTGACTTCAGCATGGTGGTACCGGATTTTTTGCTGGTCTTCCTTGAACTGAAGAAGGCTTCAAGTACTGGAGCCTTCAAATGATGCCTCTCTTGCTGAGTTTCCTTTTCAAGAACTCAAAGCTGTATCCAAAACGTAGTGCAAAAATAGGAACTCCCATTGATTTCACTAGGCTTTGAATCTGGCCCGCACTATTTTATTAATGAGACTTGCCTTGTGCAATGAGGTATTTGCTGCATGGATGGTGGAGTTTTAAGGCTTCAGAGACCATCCTCTGTGCCTGAAACTGCATCTAAATGTGAGCACTCTCAAAGGTCGGGGCTGGAGGGCATTGAGGATCCGGCACGCCAGGCTGGGTTCACATCCAGGAAATGCGTTTCAGGCTTTAAATTACGTGGGTTATGGATAAGGATATTTTCAGTATTGCTTTTATGAGGAAGAGAGTGAAAATTGTTATTGGCTCTTTCCTGCATGTTGGCATAGAAATATCTGTTGGGAAAAAAAAAATCTCCGTAACCACAGGTGAGTTTTGTGAGGGGCGAAATAAGAAATGTTGCCCAAGCTGGGCACGTGTATTGAGTGAAGCAAGGGAGAATTCACAGCACAACATCTGTCCCTCGGGGTTTTCTGTGTCTCCCTCTGTCCATAGATACCTCTATCTATGGATACATCTATGTCGCCTCTAGGTAAGAGAGCTAAATTTCCRGCCACCGTTCAATTTTCGTAGCGATCAGGAGACCACCCATCAGGGATGACAGGTAGCATTTGGGAGTGGGCCCTCCTGACGTCCTCCCCGTTATCCCCAGTTCCTTGCCACGTATCCAGTCATTAACACCCACACCAGCATTCCCAACGGGCGCCCTTGCAGCCCCGCGCCAGCCCAGGAACAGCCGCTCCTTGCCGAGAAACTAGAATTCCGATTCTCCCAGGATCTGTTCTAAATTTTGCGAGGAAAAATCCCCCAAGAAGAAAAGTTAGCCAAACAGTGTATGAAAGATGCTAAATGTTTAAAAATATGCTGGCAGCAGTTATATAAGCTCTTTCTGTTCCAAAGTACATATCGGAAGGATATAAGTAGGACAGTGGAAATGTAAAATAAATATAAATTGCCAACTTGGAAGAAAAAAATGATGTTCATCCCACAGTCTTAAAAACCATTCATGTGCAGTGATTTTTTTAATGGTTTTCTAATTTTGTATTATGTTTTGTAAATTATTTATAAAGTGTTGTGATGCTTCTTATATTATTTTTTTTATAAACAAATCTTTGCTATGAGGCATAAATGGTGCCTGAACAGATTCTTGGGAAGATAAATTATGTGTGAATCATACATCGTTTGGAACCATAAATATTTTGTTTTATTTTGTTACTGGCAACATTTCTGATTTCCATTTGTAAACAAATTTCATGTATTGATTACATTTGAATACTTTTAATTTTGCATGTGACTAAAAGATAGATTGCTACCAGCAAATGAAACAAAGGTCTCTTCAATCATATTTGAAGGTATAGTGGTTTTCCAATTTATTGATCGTTGATTTTTTTTWAAATATATATATATATAAAGTTATTATTTGATGAATGAAGGGTTCACTTACTATTCTAATTTTGACTTTTTATGTTCTTTCACTGAAAAGATATTTTGGATGGTTGAAGAAATCAAATGCATTCAAATAGTTCCAGTTTCTTTGCATTGCTACCACAAAAAAAAAAAAAAGAAAAAAAGAAAAAAAAAAAGAAAAAAGAACAAGAAAGCAAAAAGGAGCTAGGAAGGAACAAGTAGAGGCGTATCAAAGAACTCAAGCTATAACCAAAAAGAAATATGTAAAATGCCTTTGCTCGTCTTCTCAATGCTGGACCAAAGCTCAATGTATGTAGGTATATGCACATTGTATAGATATGGCTAAATGTTGCTGACAATCTTGCAATACTAAACTGTTACTATTAAAAAAAAAAAAGAAATACAAAAATAAAACTGTTCATCAGTGTTTTACCTCAGCACTCTACTTGTACCCAGTTATTGACCAACATTCAAATAAGGAGATAAGAGAGGAAATTGATTTCCATGTCAATGTTTGACTGTAAAATCTGTTTGGATAACATTTTGTAATGAGCTTTTTGTCATGTGGTTTGCTTGTTTCCAACTTGAGATTATGTGGGGCACATTTGTTTATTTATTGTTAAAAAGTGATATTATTATTATTATTATTACTATTATTATTATTATTTTTGTCCTATGTGCTATAATCTACAGAATGGTCACCAGGGTCACTTATGAAGCACTGCAAAGAGATCTGTTTTTCCATGCATGGAGCATGCAGCAGGAAAGATGGCAGTACAAAATGGACTGTATTGTGTTGTTAAAAATAAAAAAAAAGGTAGTAACTACAAAAGGAGTCGATGTGGTGGACTTGTGACCAAGAAACAAACTGGATATTTAAAAGCTCCTTACTACTCTGACTTTGAAACCAAAGCTGATTTATCTGCACAGGTTGCTTAACATGAAAAAAAATAAAAAACTGACAAAAACTGTACTTAATCTAGAGCAATATCTGTATGGTCAGTAAAGCTGCACTTTGTGTATTTCTTAACAGCTTCAGATCTGTCACTTTTAATTTGTACCATAAAAAATAAAGAATTGTTTGACATGAAAAATAAGCTCCTTTCATGTATTTGTCTTAAATCTCATGCATTATTCACATGATCAGAGCTCATGTAATTTCACATCAGTTCAATACAAAAAAAGTTAAATGCTTGAAAGAAAGAAAAAGAAGACAGAAAGGAAGAAAGCGAGGAAGAAAGAAATGAAGAGAAAAGGAAATCTGTGTGTGACAGTGAAAATCACTTTATCAGCAAAACTTCGCACTATCTTTGTATCCAAAGCAGGCATGTCCATTGGTGATATCTTATTTTCTCTACAGATATGGGGAGTAGAAGAGCTGCCCAAGGATTATCCTGGAGTCACTCAGGTGAGTGCGGATCAAGCCCTAGGCGAAGGGAAGCGAAATGCAGGAGGACGGTAAGGCCACAACCCGTGAGGTCCCCATCGCTCCCACACCCCCAAGCAAAGCAGGTAAGTGAAGGAAAAGGAGTGTGGTGGTGAGCTCAGGTCCCGCTCTCCGTCTCAGAAGATGACACTTTGCCATAGATCAAAAGGTTCATTCCTCGTTTCTTGCTGGGATTATATTAGGTTGCTGAAATGTCTTTTGTGCAGGCTGCTTAAGTTGAGGCATGTCACAATCCATCTAAATAGGTGATTCTGAAAAAAAACACATTCTGAAAAATTAATTCCGTTTTCTCATGAATTTGTTGTGGAAAACCATCTAGAAAAAAAAGCTGTGATCATAATAGAACATCTTTCTTGAGATTTAGGAACAAAACTTTTGCAAAGTCTTTATTTTGCTAAATATTGTTTTACATTGCCAATAGAACACTTTGAGTAAGCAAAAAAAGCCCCAAATTTTTGCTTTGCC